GAAAGCAAATTATGCAATTTTGGAGGAAATGTGTTTTTTTTTGTGACCTTCAAAAATTGAATAACCAATATCCTGACCCACTACATATCACATACGCTAGTACATGATGCATTTCCCTATCTGCGTTCAATTTTTTTAGTATGCAACCCTTCTAGCTGTATCCTATTATGAGACATCAACAGTGATGTTGGTTGCATAATAAGATCTTTTCTCGGCATTAGGGGGAGATTTGAAATTTCTAATTAATTAAATACCGAGAAATTGATAAAAATCTTCAAACCCATGTACTAGCCTTATAGAACCAGAAGTTCGGACATTGAATAAATTATCTGCTAGAAATCCCAATGAGTGACTAAGTCCATAGAAAATATTTTAAGAGTTGAAATCCCCAACTAGGACTAAACATCTCTACCATTATGCCAGAAGCATATATTGGTTTAAGAATTTGCAAATCTAGATCTAGTGAAGAAATTTCGTCACTCCAGAAATATAGAAATTTTATCTTGAAGATATTCGTCTAGAAGGCGAAAACCCCCAGTAAAATTGTAGGTGCACCAAATAACTAAAATATTGGGGAAGCGGAACAACCAAATTCAAATACTCTTGGGAAATGCCATATATTTGGTTAATACAAAATTGCCATGTGTATAAAACATATTTACAAAGCTATTATAGTTGTCGACAACATATTTTGCCTCTATTGCTCATAAATACTTAAATATGGATCCAGAAATGAAAACAGTAGTATAACGGCTGCAGCGTGCTAACTGTTTTGCTAGAAAACAGCAATTAAGGCATACAAATCAAAACTTGCTAATAAAAGGCGAGTTAAGGGTTTTCGCAGAGACCCAATATTAGCCATGGCTTTATATTCCGCTATTCAATAAAACTAGCAGTAAATAAATTAGATATGTAGCTAATAGTTAATAGTTATCACATATTTATATGGGTAACTTGTTACTTATATTTATCCTTGATGGATTTTCTCAAAATGTGATGAATGAAAATCACAAAATAAGAAGTATAAAATTTAGTAAGTTGCTAACTATGATCTTTCTTATAGTCAATAAATCGACTAAAGACATTTTCTCCCCAAGAACAAAGTAATGTTATATGTGATTGGGAAACTCAAATATCGTTTCCTCTTGGAAATATCCTAAATATATCCTCTAGTTTATCTTGAAAAATCCCTAATGGATTTATAATTCCCGAAATGAGGATTTATTTAAGTGCCATTATTTACTTTTTAAAGAGTTGCGAATGGGGTTATTATCCTCATATAGAAGGAATAATATGTACCATTATGTGCTCAATAAAGAGTTGATAATGGACTTATTTATTATCTCAGTCAATATTTATGGTGTAAACATCAATGAAATATATAAAGAGTTTGATGATGTTAAGTTATGAGATGAGATAACGAATAGCAAATCAAGGTACAAATACTCGTATTGATGCTTTTTGGCATGAAGTCATCATACTTGTTACAGATAAAAACGTATATAGTTTTTCATGATATAAAATACCTTGATCCACATGAACTCCAGAAGAGTGATAAAATATTTGTTCAGAAGGTTTGCTCCAGTGACAAGTTAGCAAATGTATACCTACAAAATATTCATAATCATAAGATGGTTATGTGTAAGTAAAGAAAAATCATTATATTTAAGCTATTCAGAACTTGAAGATTGTTATCTTCAGTGGGAGACGAGAAGTACATTCACTCGAGTCAATCCTGTAGATTGGTCAATCATGTTGATTGGGTCTTAAAAGGACTAATAGTTATACTTTTTGCAGCATATACATACCATGTACTCTTTTCCTCACTAGGTTTTTCCCAATGGGTTTTCTAGTGTGGTTTTTAACGAGGCATGAGTATGATATAGTAATGACAATGGGAAAAATTGCAAAATAATTGGTTAATAAATGAACAAACTCCAAAATCCTGAAGATTATGCAGATTATGCCCTGAAGGTTTATGGTTGTACTCTTTTTCCCTTAACTAAGTTTTTCCCACAGGGTTTTCTTAAGTTAAGGTTTTTAATGAGACGACCAATACAATATATGTTTTACATATATTAAGTACTATTTTCTTCAACTAGGTTTTTCCCACGTGGTTTTCCTAGTGAAGTTTGTAATGAGGCATGAATATATTTTCTATTGTACTCTTTTCTTGTCTAGGTTTTTCCCACAGGATTTTCCTAGCAAGTTTTTAACGAGGCAAGGTCGTGGACAAATAATGTCCAAGGGGGAGTGTTATAAATATATCTTTATGTGGACATTATTATAGATTATATAACAGTTGTAACGGTTCTGTATTTATGTCTCCATTATGTCTTCCGTTATATTTGTATATTATATATAGATGTGTTTATGGTTGTATGAAATACACAAATGAATGAATAAAGAAGAGATCCTCCTGCCTTGTCTATCACTTTCTCTCTTTGTATCTTAGTTTCTTTTTCAGCAATTCCTTTGATCAATCATGCTTGAGTTAATGGGTTACAACATTAATGTAATTTTTTCAATTTTTGAGATTGTTTCTAAACTAGAGTGAAATGTTTGATGGAAATTGTCCTTCTTTAAAAACAAAAAAAAAAAAACAAAAAAAAAAACAAAAAAAAAAACAAAAAAAAAAAGGAAAAAAAAAACAAAAAAAACAAAAAAAAAAAAGGAAAAAAAAAATGCAAAATACGAAAAGGAAAGCAGCAAAAAAATAAATGAAAAGAAAAAAAGGAAAAAAGGATATGAAAGAGAAAATGAAAAAGAATTATTATTATTATTATTATTATTATTATTATTATTATATTATTATTATTATTATTATTATTATTATTATTATTAATTTTTCATGTTAAATAAAGTATGAAATATTCATGGTCTTTGGGGGGTGTGATAGTTTATTTGGTTGGAGTTGAAGTATCAAAACAACAAGAGAGATTTGGTTCACTTGGTCTTTGTTTTGAGTTATGTTCATTCAATCTATGCTCCTCTAGTTTTGAAGGCTTTTTGAACTACTTTTCAAAATAATTCCTACCCTTTACCCTAGCCCCATTACAACCATGAAAAAGTCTTAATGATTTGATCATGCATGTTATCTTGTGGTGGAGAATGAGAAGATATGCAAGCCTATGGTAGAACATTTCTATTTGAATTTATTTGAATGAAATTTATACACACACCCTTCAAACACTTATGCGCTATGAGTGATATTCTCGTGAGAGCTTGGTTATTTAGTTCACTCCATTTTCAAATAAATTGCTAGCTAGTTATTTATAATGTGTTTGAGATTAATGTTCTTGAAGTGTTATGAGTTTTTATATTTATATTTCTCTTAAATAATGTTTCTTGCTTGAGGACAAGCAAATGATTAGTGTGGGAAATTTTGATAAGCACTATTTTTATATTTTATTTAGATTAGTTTTTATAATAAATCAATTTTATTTATTTAATATTATATTTACTTTAAACTTTATTTTATATTTTGTACTAATATAATAATTATTGAATAATTAGGCTTAATTGTTTGTTTAGGCTAAAATTCCTTTTTATTGTTTTAATTGATTTGGGCAAACCTAAATCTTTTCTTTCATTTTTTTTGTTTGTTTAAGTTAGTGGCCCAATTAGTTTATTTGTTTTGTAAAGTCAGCAGCCCAAGTCTCATTAATGTTATTTTCCTTTCTTTGGTTTCTCTAGCGTACGTAGACAGCAGGGCGACATCGACAAGGAGACAAACTGAAGAAGACTCCGTCCGAGAGACTGCCGAAGACTCTTTCTGTGGCCACGAAATTAATTGAATTAGAGGTTGGAGCTTGTGATCGTGCTCTAATCGTGTTCGCCGATCAATTTTTCCGATAGTGGCCCTCTCTCTGATCGTGGTCAGAGAGTGTTTCTCCCGAGAATTCTAGGGCTTTTTATACTGATTGTTTTCCGATGGCTTCTCATTCGATATCTCGCATCGGCATTATTGTGTTATTAATTTCAAATCTGATCGCTGGGTTCAATATGGATGCCCGATCGCTTGAGCAGCAGTGCACAGAATTGTCTTTGACGGAGGAGGAGACGAGGGGGCTAGAAGCGCGGGAATTGCAAAAGGCACCAGACGATGCAATCCGATATAATCTTGTGGGCCGATTTCTCACTGATCGCCTAATCAAGGCCGATCACATGCAGCAGGTGATGGCCTTTGTGTGGAGGCCGGTAATGGGGATCTTTGTGGTGACCCTCGCCGATGATTTATTTCTGTTCCAATTTCCGCATCCGAGGGATTTGCAGCGTGTGATCGACGACGGTCCGTGGTCCTTCGATAACCAATTACTCGTCTGTGAGCAAGTGCCGGTGGGTACCTCGCCAGAAGACGTAGCGCTCGATTCGATGCCTTTCTGGGTTCAGATTCATGGATTGCCCGCAATGTATGCTACACCGGATTTTGTGACGAAAATGGGGGATTACATCGGGAAGTTTATTGCAGCGGATCCGTTCAGTTTCGGAGGGGCCTGGAAGAGCTACTACAGAGTTCGGGTACGCATGACAATTGCGACACCGCTGAAAAGGCGTATGAAGCTCCTGCACCGGGATGGGTCATCTCAGTGGATTTTATTCCAGTATGAGCGCCTGGGTACCTTTTGCTATTGCTGTGGGATCCTAGGGCATTCAGATAAGTTCTGCAGAATTGTGTATGACCAGGGTATTCTGCCAGATGCGTTCCCCTTTGGAGCGCGGTTGAGGGCGGGTCTGAGACGACAGGCGAAACAGATAGGGGCTCAGTGGCTGCTACCGTCGATGACTCAGTCATCAGTGGTGTCTGATGCCCAGGAAGTTGGGCCTCCCCCGGCGGTTTTAGTGACAATGGAGGAACGGGGCGGTCTGCAGGGTGAACTCAAGAGGCGAAGGGAGGAAGTCAGTGAGACGGATGGTATACAGGAGGACAATGTACATATGGCGGAACCGACAAAAATCTCGGAGACGGCGAGTCTGACAGACCAGGCTCGCCCTGCGCAATGAGTCTAATTAGTTGGAACTGCCGGGGTTTGGGTGGCACCCGGACAGTTCGAGAATTGTTGGGCATTGTGTCCAAACAGCGACCCTTATTCGTCTTCTTGATGGAGACGAAAGCATATGGTAGTCGGGTAGAGGAAATGCGAGTGCAGTTGGGTTTTGAAGGGGCTTTCTGTGTGGATCGTGTTAGCTTCGGGGGCGGGCTGGCGTTGTTCTGGCGGGATTCGAATGTTGCATCCCTGTTAAGTTACTCCATTGATCACATTGATATGGAAGTAACGATTCCAGGGAAACCGACTTGGAGACTTACATGCTTTTATAGTGAGCCGGACAGAACACAACGTCAAGTTACGTGGAATCTTCTACGGCATTTGAAGGATCAATCTACGCTCCCATGGCTCGTAGTGGGTGACTTCAACGATATAGCGTGCTTATCGGAGAAAAGAGGTGTTCACTCGCATCCTGCAGCACTTATTGAAGGTTTTAATGATGCACTCAGAGATTGTCAACTTCACGATTTGGGAATGTTGGGGGGAAATTTTACTTGGGTAAAAGGCCGGGGTACGGACGCATGGGTGGAGGAATGGCTGGATAGAGCCGTGGCAACTACGGATTGGATGGACATCTATGACCACGCTCAGGTTCATAATATTTATATTCGATCTTCGGATCACTGTGCGATTGCTATAGACGTTGAAACATGCCCTGTGCGTGCGGCGATACGAACCTTTAAGTTCGAATCAGCGTGGCTTTTGGAGGATGGGTGTGCGAGAGTTGTTGATGAAGCATGGCGGATGTCTACTGGGCAGAATTTCCAGGAGAGGCTGGCGGTTTGTGGTGAGAGATTATGGAAGTGGGGAGGGGAACACTATCGGCACTTTGGAAACCGGATTAGGAATTTGCGGCATACACTGTCCAGACTCAAGGAAGACCGTACTCCTGCTGGTTAGAAGAGTTTAGAGCAGCCGAGGGTGAGCTAGATGAGCTCAGTCGGGTAAAGGAAGTGTTTTGGAAACAAAGATCGAAACAATTGTGGCTAAAGCAGGGTGACGCGAATACGAAGTATTTCCACAAGGCAGCTACAATTCGGCACAGACGTAATACCCTCACTTGGATCAAAAATCAGATAGGCGATTGGGTGGAGGGCACGACAATGCATTCGGAAGTCATAAGGTATTTTGATAATATTTTCTGTTCCGAACATAGTACATCGGCTCTATTTGGTAATGTCCGTCAAACTGTGACGGCCGAGATGAATGCTTGCCTGGTACAACCGTTCAATATAACGGATGTCAAAGCCGCTCTGTTTGATATGGCTCCCGAGAAAGCACCGGGCCCAGATGGGCTATCACCGGCCTTTTTCCAACATTTCTGGCCGGTTCTAGGCCATGATCTTGCTGTCTTCATTATTAATTGTGTCGAGGCTAAGAGCTTCCCACCGGGTCTAAACGAGTCCAATATTGTCCTAATCCCTAAGAAGAAGATCCCAAAGAAGGTCGCCGATCTTCGGCCAGTCGCGCTTTGTAACGTGGTTTACAAAGTGCTGGCTAAAATGTTAGCCAACAGATTAAAAAGTTGTTTGGGCCAGATAGTGTCACAATCGCAAAGTGCGTTTGTACCTGAGAGACTCCTTACTGATAATATTATAGTGGCCGGTGAAATTGGGCATTACCTGCGAAGGAAAACTGGGGGAGTTATGGGATGGGCGGCGCTGAAGCTAGATACTAAAGCGTACGACCGTATGGAGTGGTCTTTTTTGGAAGGGATGTTGGGGGCGTTGGGGTTTGATAGGGGATGGTCAGATTTAATTATGCTGTGTGTTCAAATTGTGAATTATGCTGTGTTGGTCAATGGGGAGGTGGTGGGCCAGGTGTGTCCTTCTCAGGGGATTCGCCAGGGGGACCCGCTGTCGCCCTACTTATTTATTTTATGTGCAGAGGGTCTGTCAATTCTTCTACAACAGGCAGAGGCCCGTGGGGAGATTCATAGCGTGAGGGTGGCCCGGGGAGCCCTGGCCATTACTCATCTTTTTTTCGCTGACGACAGCTTGTTGTTTTTCAGGGCAACTCAACAGGAAGCCTTACGAATTAAAGGTTGTCTTGACTTTTATTGCTTGGCTTCGGGGCAACTTATTAATTATGAGAAGTCAAGTGCGGTTTATAGCTTAAACACGGCAACCCAGGCAAGGGAAGTGGTTAGTGAATGTTTGGGGGTCCACGCTGCAAACGATCTGGGACGTTACCTAGGGCTCCCATCAGTGTTGGGACGGAATAAAACCGCGAATTTCAAATATATCGAGGAGAACATACGGACCCGTATGGGATTATGGACACATAAGCTATTGTCCCGCGCAGGTAAAGAGGTCCTTCTCAAGAGTATTGCACAAGCCCTTCCTATTTTTACAATGTCATCCTTCTTACCCCCTTTACGTGTTTGTGACACGCTAGAAAAAATGTTTAACCGATTCTGGTGGGGAGGTGGCGGTACGGGGAGCCGTGGCATTCATTGGCTAAGTTGGGCGCGGATGTGTGAACCGAAATCGGAGGGCGGGCTTGGTTTTAAGAAGCTCCATGAATTCAACTTAGTGTTACTGGCCAAACAGGGCTGGCGATTGTTAGTTCAACCGGACTCCTTGGTCAGCCGATTGTTAAATGCTAAGTACTATCCCACAACGGATTTCATGGGGGCGCAACTAGGCGGCAGCCCCAACTTTATCTGGAGAAGCATCATGGCTAGACAACAAGTGTTACGTTTGGGCATTGCAAGGCGTATTGGCGACGGTATGGATACAAAAATATGGGCTGGAACTGGTTGGCAGACCCGACTAATACACCTCTACATACCCTGAGCGCCGAGTATTTGCAAGAGGCTAGAGTCGTGGGTTTACTTGACAATCAGGGGCGATGGGACCATGAGGTTGTCCATGATTTATTTGCGGCTGCGGATATACACTGTATTCTTGCTACTCCAATCAACAATCTCTGTAAGGATACTTGGAGGTGGGTGGGAGACATCAGAGGAAGATACACAGTCCGGCATGGCTATCAACTCCTCACAAGCAATACAAGGCAGCACGTTGCTCAAGGGGAGTTTCGTGCTTGGAAGCATTTGTGGGCACTGCCTATTCCTCCATCAGTGAAGAATTTCTTATGGCGGTGTGCTAGAGATGTCTTACCAGTTCGAGACAATCTACGCCATAAGAAGGTCTGGGTCGGTGGTGGTTGTCCTATGTGCGGTCACGAAACGGAGACAACACAGCATTTATTTTGTGAATGTGTTTTTGCGAGCAACGTATGGGAAACGGACAACGTTTTGCAGGGGAGACAACTGCTGTCTTTTATGGATCTCACGATTGGTAATTCACCCACGAATGCGGCTGTTAAACTGGCTGCTGTGTTCTGGACCATCTGGCGGCTTCGAAACGATGTGATATGGCATAACCAATCAGTGACCGTAATGGAGGCTCATGAACGTACGAAGTCTCTTCAAGAAACCTGGGCAACAGCTTAAGTCAAAGCACCGCGAGAAGCTACATTCGCAGGCAGTGCTGGAACCTTGACTCCGCCATCTGAAGGTATCCTCAAGTGCAACATAGACGCGGCTACGTTCGCGGAAGGGGCGAGCTTTGGCGCCGTCATCCGGGACCACACCGGCAGTTTTGTTGCGGCAAAGAGTGGGTGGTTCGAGGGGGTTAATGAACCGTTCCTGGCCGAGGTACTTGCAACCAAAGAAGCCTTAACTTGGCTTAAAGATCAAAGCCAAGTAAACTACGTGATTGAATCTGATTGTTTAAATTTTTGCAATGCTTTTAATTCCCGTAATGTTGATTTTTCGTACGTAGGCTTAATTGTAAAGCAATGTTTGTCGATTTCTAATGATATGGGGACTATTAGAGTGGTCCATATCAAGAGAACAGTGAATCGTGTGGCTCATGAGCTTGCTCCGACAACCGTTTCTGAATCTGTCTCGGGGGAGTGGGATTTTATCCCGCCGGCTTGTATCGTTCATTTACTTAATCATTAATGAAGTTTTCGTGTTTGTTTCAAAAAAGAGTGAAATGTTTGATGGAAATTGACCTTCTTTAAAAACAAAACAAAACAAAACAAAAAAACAAAACAAAAAAAAAACAAAACAAAACAAAAAAAAAAAGGAAAAAAAAATGCAAAATACGAAAAGGAAAGCAGCAGAAAAATAAATGAAAAGAAAAAAGGAAAAAAAGGATATGAAAGAGAAAATGAAAAAGAATTAATATTATTATTATTATTATTATAATTATTATTATTATTATTATTATTATTATTATTATTATTATTATTATTATTATTATTATTATTATTATTATTATTATTATTATTATTATTAATTTTTCATGTTAAATAAAGTATGAAATATTTATGGTCTTTGGGGGTGTGATAGTTTATTTGGTTGGAGTTGAAGTATCAAAACAACAACAGAGATTTGGTTCACTTGGTCTTTGTTTTGAGTTATGTTCATTCAATCTATGCTCCTCTAGTTTTGAAGGCTTTGTGAACTACTTTTCAAAATAATTCCTACCCTTTACCCTAGACCCATTACAACCATGAAAAAGTCCTTATGATTTGATCATGCGTGTTATCTTGTGGTGGAGAATGAGAAGATATGCAAGCCTATGGTAGAACATTTCTATTTGAATTTATTTGAGTGAAATTTATACACACACCCTTCAAACACTTATGCGTTATGAGTGATATTCTCGTGAGAGCTTGGTTATTTAGTTCACTCCATTTTCAAATAAATTGCTAGCTAGTTATTTATAATGTGTTTGAGATTAATGTTCTTGAAGTGTTATGAGTTTTTATATTTATATTTCTCTTAAATAATGTTTCTTGCTTGAGGACAAGCAAATGATTAGTGTGGGAAATTTTGATAAGCACTATTTTTATATTTTATTTAGATTAGTTTTTATAATAAATCAATTTTATTTATTTAATATTATATTTACTTTAAACTTTATTTTATATTTTGTACTAATATAATAATTATTGAATAATTAGGCTTAATTGTTTGTTTGGGCTAAAATTCCTTTTTATTGTTTTAATTGATTTGGGCCAACCTAAATCTTTTCTTTAATTTTTTTTGTTTGTTTAAATTAGTGGCCCAATTAGTTTATTTGTTTTGTAAAGTCAGCAGCCCAAGTCTCATTAATGTTATTTTCCTTTCTTTTGTTTCTCTAGCGTACGTAGACTGCAGGGCGACATCGGCAAGGAGACAAACTGAAGAAGACTCCGTCCGAGACATTGCCGAAGACTCTTTCTGTGGCCACGAAATTAATTGAATTAGAGGTTAGAGCTTGTTCTACTGATTTTCTATGGTTTCTTAGAAATTAGGAAAATAAAGATGATTTATTTTTTAGGTTTTATGTGGTTGAAAGATGTGTAATTAATTTGTGGATGTTAGTGAAATTAGGGCTATTTTGAGCTGATTAGGGAGGCTGAACTAGTATAAATAGGGCTGAATTTTGCAGTATAGCATAGTCAGTTTTTCATAATCACTTTATTTTAGTGTAAACACTCTTTGCAATGTACTGCTGAGTATTGATTTTCCAACTCAAGGATTATTGAACTTTGATTCTACAAGACTAGTGAGATTTATTTAGCTTAATTTTATTCTTTGCGCTTTATTATTTATATATCTCCTTTTATATGAGTTTTAATTATTGCTTGATTAATTATTGCAATGGGCCCATTGTTCAATTGTCAAGTCATTAAGTTGCTAATTAGAACCTTGAATCTGTAATTGTTTAAGTGTTCTAAAATTGGTAGCAAATAGCACAATTTGATTATACATGGATTTTCAATTTTGTGTTATGAAGATATATAGTCTAGTTTAAATGAACCATGCTTTTGAGTTTGTTGGCTAGAATTGGTAATCTTTCTAATTCTTTTAATGCAGTTAGTAAATTAAATCCTAA